CCCCCGACGGCGATGATCGGCGGGGCGTGGGTCCCTGGTGGGGGGGGAAACGCCGTTGGGCAGGCCGTGTTCGGCCTCCATGGGCATCGAAATCGCGCCCCACCGACGGCCGCCACGCCGCCGCTCGGCAGCACCGCGTCGGGGCAAAAACCACCGCTTCGGCAACCCGCTCTGAGCGGGAGTCGCCCGCCGCTGACGAGCCTCGCGGGGAATCCGACGGCTTCTTCGGCTTCGTCTCCGCCGAGCCGGGCATCGAGCCCTTCCAAAAACGCGGGAACCGCCGCGGCGACGGCAGCTGCGGGCGGATCCGGCGCTGGCGAAGATGCCGCGGCGGCGGAGCTCATCTCGGGGGCTCCAGCGTCAAGCTGCGCGCGGATCTCCGCGAATTTATCCGATAAAACCGACGACGCGACGGATTACTTGCTCGACCCGTTGATGTCTCTTAGCGTTTTGAAGCAGTTTTTGACGGAGCAGGTTCTCTCGTTCATGGATTAAGACGAACTGGAAAATACGAATCAGAGTCTTTTGAATTTCTCTCTCTGATTGTATGCGGCAGGGGGAGGGGGGGAGAAGGGGAGCGACAATTTATAGTCGTTCCTGAACTATCCAAGTGGTGCAAGGGAGTTCATTCACTTGTAGACGCATTTTTCCTTTTTAAAACGAAATTTGTTTTCAATACATACGGGGAAAAGGGGGGGAGGAGAGGGAGGTATGCGATGTGCGATGCGATACTTTGCATGAAAGTGTATGGAACTCATAATATATACATATATTAATATGCAATGTAAACAATTGCGATCAGGGAGTAATTGTATATTGTGCTTGAGTAGCTCATTTGTTACCTCCTACAGTCCTCGTGAGGAAAACGAATAATCAGCAATATCATGGACCGTATATCACTTATTTTCGCTTGAAGCGTGTTTGTGGAACAACAGTAAAGTGGAAGGACCTTCGTGGACTAAAAACATCAATATTAACAAAGGTTAAGCTTGCGTAGACTCAAAAAATTTCCAATTCGATAACCTGAAAAAAGGGGAATGAATATTGATTTTGTGTTCCTTTTTCTCATATTTATGGGGTTTTCTATTTCAGTATTTCACGTAAGGTACCGTGAACTTTCTTCTCCTACACCTTCTCCTTCGACTTTTCCCCCTCAAATAAATAATTAAAGAACAGAAACAAAGGTGGGTAAACATGGGTAACGCAAAGGTTCTTTTCTATGGCTTTCTTCTCGGCTTTATTGAAAGTCTAGGGATACAACCTATTCCCCTGGCTACTTCGTCCTTAGGGCCTGCTTCCGCGTTGCCGTATGGAAACGAGGGGGCTGCACTCGGTTTTTTTTTTGACTGGAGCCTTCAACTCATGCCGTCCTGGCGGCTGCTAGAGCGGGATCCTCGGCTATGGCGTTTGATGCGTAAGGCGGTGCAGGTGAACGCCTTGGTGTTCCTTCTCAGCCTCGTTTTATCCTTCTCCGCGAGGCTGGCTTTGTGGGTGGAGGGGTTGTTTCGGATGGCCTATGATGGCCGCTCCCGAATGGGTGCCACAACGTCGACAATTGGCTCGTTTTTGCTGCTTCGATTGCCTTTTCACGGCGCCCGCGGGCTCGCGGCGTTGCTTCGGTTTGCCGGGCAGTGGCCGCTTTACCTCACCCTCCAGCTGGTCGGCGTGTTGTGGTATAACCAGCTCTACTCCGAGGTGTGGATGGTGCGGAAAGGACTGCTGCGAGCGCACCCTTCGCGTAGGAGCTCCCCCGCCGTGGCTGCCCCCCTGACCGGGAAGGAAGGAGGCCGTGCTTCTTCAATATCTGACGGCGCGGGATTAGGAGCTACGACTGCGACTTCTTCTTCTTCTTCTTCTTCTTCGCCTCCTCCTCTCGCGAGAGGGCCATTCGGGCTCGTGGTGGCGGTTTACCGAACGCTACAGCTCACCCTACGGCTGATGGTGTTGTTGTTGATACGCCGTACGCCGCCTACCCCCCCAGCACAGTGGCTGGTTGGGGATCGGAAGCTCTTCGCGAGCATCACCCCAGGCCCTTCATCGGTAACGGAGCGTCTGGAGATGGTGAGCGAGATGGTTTTTAAGTTAGTCGCCATGTCCGTTTTCGCGTTCTGCGCAGTGGTGTTGGAGAAGGTGTTGGGGGTGTGGCCTATTCTACCTTACTTCAGCATTTCACTTGGCTCCATCATCGGTTTTGTGATGAACAGCTTTCTCTATAGTTTTTACGTCTTTGATTACCGCTACGCGCTGCAGCTATCCCCCACTTTGAACTCGCGTCTAACTTTGATCGAGCAGCTTGAGCACTTTGGAGAATGCTGGACATACAATATTGGCTATGGTAGCAGCATGACGTCGCTTTCGTATGCGCTGACCAGGGTCTTAGGCCCTGTCGGATCGATTTGTATAGTTTCCATCATCTATGCGTGGCAGGTCGCCTGCTCCGGTTACGCAAGGCTGATCCCAAGCCCGTGCGCGCTGCATATATTCTTGCCATGGTTTGAGATGTTAGACTTTATAAAGCAAAATCCGGGGCTCCTCTGGCGCTTTGCCGCAATCGCATGCTTGTCAGTTTTGCCGATGTGGTATATATTTATTTTAGATTAAGCGATACATTGTTATGGGCTCGCTTTCACTTTCATTAATATCATCCCCATTTTGGCTTCAGTTCCATAAATAGATGAGAGAGTAACTGCTAATATGGAGATGAGGAAAGCGCAGAGACGTGCGCTATCACTATGTTTAGTTTTTTTTCTCGTGTTGCATTTCTAGATTGCTATTTTACTGGCGTAACTTTGTGCTTTACTTATACATCACTCCTAAAAAAATCTTATTCTTTATCTATTCAGTGCACTTTTTGTCATACCAAATCACGTCTGCATCTATATCCAGCTGGGGAGTGAACAATTCCTTTTTCAGCATGGGTTAATCAGGTTTCATGCGCGTAGGTGGAATTATTTTCGCTAAAAGGATTATTAATTTTTTACTTGCGACTATTGAACACTGCGGTTGTGCGTGCTTTTCTTTGATTTTCATTCTTCGAATAAATAAATAAATAAATATATATATAGACAAGGTACACTTATCACAAAATAACGGCACCACTGAGGACTAAAATCCCACGTTCAGAAACAAATTAGTCGACAATGAAGACTAGCTTAGTCTTATCCAATACATTAGTGGAGGCGCAGTGGAGGGTCCGATCATCTGTCTTGCCTTTTCTAATGTTTTTTCTTGTCACGACCTTGCTATTAGTGTCAGCAGAACGCCACGAGCACCCAGAAAAATCTCCGAACGATTTATCGCACGCCTTGTCGAGTGTGGAGGAGCTTCCTAACTCCACGGTACTGTTGAGCTCCCTAAGAAGCATTGACCGGGATCAACTTCGTCGCGCTCCGCACATTATGCGTCGCCCAACTGCGTCACCCGCGCAAAATCGTCGTAACGCGTACACCATCAAACTTCGAGAGAGAATTGTTGAAATTTCTGGCAGCGAGCTGACGGCATGGCCGCTCCCACCGACGATGAAGGTGCACACCCCATGCCTTAAATTCGGGCTCTCCTGCCCGTCAGAATATGTGAATTTTTTAGAAGATATCCTACGGCAGGCGCTGCGTGAAAACCCTATGGGAAAGGAAAGCATTCCAGAAGGCTGTGATGTAGTCTCTCTCAATGTTAAACTCTGGGTTTTAACAGGAAACTGCGTTCCGGTGGATCCTGGCGTCCAGGAGAGCGAAGAATCGTATTGGGATTACCCACCTTCAAACGAAGCTGACCACCCAGAGGGCTCCGATCCAGCGAGGAACACACCGAACAGGGGTGGTACGAGGTCATCGCCTTCAGTAATAACAACACGAATGACCACAACCCCTCCCATCTCGTCTTTCCCGGACTGTGTGGGGTGCGGGATGGAGCAGCTTACCCATCTTGAGAATTTACAGCAATATGTGCGGGTGTTGGAGGATAAGCTCGCGCGGATTCGTCATGAAAGGTGGTGTGGAGCGGCTACGCAAGCGTCGTCTGGGCGAGATGGCGATTGGATTGGAGTTGCGGCGGGGTATCTAGCGTGGGGTTGGCAAATCCTGCAGGTGAAGACCGGGATCGCGCCCTACACGCGCTGCGCGCGACAAACCCTTGAGCGTTGGTTCATCGAAGCCTTTCTTCGCATCGACGCGCCGCTGGTTTGGGGGTTTTATTGGGTTTCCGTGCGTTTACTGCCGTGCGCGGGGGTGGTGGCGTTCGGGGTGTGGGTGTGGTCGGACGTGCCGTGGCCTGACAGCGTCCTAGGCTACGTGCTGAACCTCACGAAAACGCGGCCGGATAAGGACGCGCCGGAAACCACGGAAACGCGTACGGGGAAACCTCAAGCCAAGCCATCTGTTTTGGGGTTGAAATCATCACCCCCTCCACGTGAAATGGGTTCTCCGCCCCTATCCGATTCGCATCAGCTCGTGGATAATGGGGTGGTGGATCCAACATGGGAGATCGGTGCATCAGGGACCTCAACAGAGGGGGATGAGAGGGGCTCGACCTCGAGCCCTTTGCAACTTCCCAATAACGTTCGCAAGGGGTCCGAGCGAGAAGATGTATCCAAGACTCCCCTTATCGGCGCACTTCAAACCAATCACGCGCACATGTTTAGTGCTCTTAATCAGGTGCAACCCCCGCAGAGCGAACGGGCGGCTGACGCCAAAACACGTCGGCATCATCGTCGAGTTGCGGTTTCGTTTACGTTGCTGGATGATTTCTTTAACATCGATTCATCCTACTTCCTGCTGCTGAGGTTGCGGGTTGCGCTATGTTTGCTCACGTTGCTGTCGCTCCTATGGTGTGGTTATGAGTGTTACCGAAACGCCCATCGAATTTTTTCGTATAACCGCACGCGAGATTGGGGAGGCTTCGATAGTGGGGAGCATAATTCTTACGGCAGTACCGTGAATCAATTTCATGTGCGGATCTCATCCGCTATCTCCGCCTGCACGCGTTTAGGTGGGAGATTTCTTCAACGATTGCTGCCACAATGGCTGTCAGTCTCCATTGGGTTATATGTGTTGTATTCGTTTCTCGGTTCCGTTGTGTTAGTGGCGCTCCGAGAGACTTGTAGCGCGTTTCAAGAGTTGTTGGAGGAGCAAAGTGAGTCTGCTATCCGGCAGGTACCCATTCTACGGCTTGATTCTGTGGAAGAAATGGAATAACTATGTATTAGTTAAGAAACACTCAGCGAGACTGTATATTCATTGCTTTTCCAGTATTTAATACATCTACTTTTTTGTCCATCTAGACCTATTCCACGTTAATATTCCTTTGCCATGAGCTTTTTTGATGAATTTGAATTTTTCCTCCTTTCCTAACCACAAGAATAAGAGCTGAGGGGTTCACGACGGACCAGGTTGAATCTGTAGTACTTGTCACACGCGCTCGCTTATAAGGGTGACATAAAAGGTAGATTGAGGAAAGGTAAGACATAATAGAAATAAAGATAGATACATACAGTCATAGAGGCGTGGACTGAGGGGAAATATGAATTCTTCCCGTATCGACCAGATTACCGTTTATACTGACGTTCAGCACCATGAACACGTCCAGCTTATTGAAAAGTATGCAAGGCGTCTATGCCCTGAAAAAACGAACATTGTTTCGCTTACTGCATCTCCTAACTCTCAAACCCCATTCCTGAATTACTGGGTTAATGAAGCTCCAAGGGAGACTACAAATTTATTGACTTCAACTACCTTTATGAACGATTTTGAATGCTTTATTACCGGTAACCAGGATCTCCGTTCCGGTGAGGTAATTTATGCGCTCTATCAACGTCAAATGCCAGTTCTTGCGCTCCACCTTGAGCATTTAAGCGACTCCAACCCTACCTACAATGAAACGGGTGATGAAAAAAAACCCTCCGCTTCTACCACGAATGCAACTCTCCTTCAGGAAGTTCTTTACCATGAGCGGCGCCGATTTCCTGTTACTGAGGATGGCTGTGCTACGGAAACCCTGGAGGAGGCTGTTCAATCATTCTTTGATTTTCCATCACAGTTTGGGAGTATGATTGCGATTGAATCGGATCGTCCATCCGTATTGCATCCTTTTTCCTTACCCGCGACTCCAACGCGGACCTCTTCTCCTACCGCAAGTGGTAATGCTCATCCGCATTTTCACTCCTGTACCCAGGCGATAAAAGAGATTATTTGTTCTTACCTGCGCATGGGAAGTGAGGAGACCAACCTAAGTGAAGCAGATCCGAATGAGACCAAAATTAATGCTAGGAATGACAAACTGATCGGTTGCCTTTCTCCATGCTCTTTGTGTAGCATAGAGAAGCTGATATGGCTTAGATCCGATGGCTATCCACTTTCGTGCGTTTCTAATGACAAAAAGCGTATTATACCACCACCATTACCACTTTTCCATTTTTTAAAAGATCGACTTCTCCCTTACTCACCTAATCTTCCGAATCCCGTGAATAAGGGGGATTTGGAGGCTCAGCTAGGTCCGTTTTACGAGCTTCTGCGACAGAACCCTCAGCTTTATAGCGCCCTGAGTATCTTTGATCGGCATGGAAATCGTCGCATGCTACGATATCTGCTTCAACGAGGTCGTACTGTGATCCTCATTGATCATATGTCTACCGCTTTCCAAGCGCTATTGCGATGCCTTCTCGCGTTTGCTAATTCTGATGCATGTGCAGACGGTGATACTCCGGAACAAAGCGTTGGGTCAGTCGAAGATGCCTTTTATTACTATGCTAAGGCTCTCCTAAAGTTTGAAATGCATTGGTTAGAGTTACCAACTCCCTCAGCTACGCTCTTTCTTTCACATGCAGCGGACAAGCACCATGTGGAGAATGGCGGAAAGAGCAATACCATTTCTTGTGATCGCTGGATCTTAAATGCGCTTACTTCTTACTATGATAACTGCGCTAAGGTTCAGAATACAGAACATACGACGTCTCTGGGACTGGAAGTGCTGATGTTGAGCAAGGACTCAGCGGAGTTACGCGTGCAGAACGTCGCGAGGCATCTCCAGAAGTATATGGAGGAGTGCATTTATAACTCTTCAATATCGAAACCCTTTATTCCCGACCGTTCCAGTTGATTAGCTGATCTAATTTATTTACTCGGCTATCCCTTGAGGTAGTTGGTACGCCACATAAGCTATATTAGGGTAATCCTGACCTTATCACCTTTCCAGGTGATAACTGCCTTTGATTTTTTACCGAAAGGGGGAAAAACTCAATTTTCATGAGTTTTACACGCTAAAGTACTAACAATCGAGTTTTTAGGCACCAAGACGCATTTGCTCCCAAATGCTCTGCGTAATTAAAAATGCGTTATATTATTTTCATCACGAAATGGTTGACATTAAGCCGCAAATGTGCATTGATAAGCCCTTTTCATATTCTCTCTCGTCCTTTTATTGTTGGTTTTAAAAAAATTGTGGTTGAAACACAACTTTGTGGCCTGCACACGCATGAATAAATACAATAGTACATTTGTATATGAGGGCATAGTTAAACATTTTTGTTATTCTGCTTCTTTGACGACAGGATGTCTAAAATTAATGCGACCTACAGCTCTGGCTACTACCTCAGCCCGGATACGGACTACCGCAAACTAGAGGAGGAGCAGCGAGCGCAGCAGCGGCGGAAGCGGGGGCGTCCAGACGATGCGGACGCCTCCGGCACGGACCCCAAGCGTCAAACCTTTGCGATTCCGTTCACTCTCATCTGTGAGCATTGCAATCAACACATTGCACGTGGCACGCACGTCTACACAAATCGACGCCCGACAAGCACGAAGTACCTGAACGCGATACGCATCTGGGAGCTCGAGATACGCTGCCGCTACTGCCGGGAGCTCTTCTACCTTCACACCGACCCCGCCACAGCGAAGGAGACGGGCGGCTACACCTGCGCGCGTGGCTGCCGGCGCGGCGAGGGCGACTTCTACGCGCGAAACCAGCAAAACGAGGAGGTGCGGCAGCGCTGGGAGCTTGAGAAGGCCGCGCGCGAGGCGAACCCGCTGGCCGCGCTCGAGCGCGAGAACGAGGCCGCGCGGGAGCTCGCGGAGCGGAACCGGCAGATCGAGGAGGACGTCCTCGCCAACGCGGCGGGTGGGGAGGGGTGGGGGCATCCTAGCGAGGCGGAGGCTCTCCTTGCTGCCCTGCGCGCGCGTCGTGCGGGGAACGCGGGGTCACCCGTGATGTCCCAAGCAGACGAAGACGAAGACGAGCAGGAGACGGAAAACGAAACGGAAGCGAAGGAGAAAGAAAGGCTGGGACAGGTGTGGGAGTGGGGTGGTGACGGAAGGGCGTGTCCCACGTTGGGGTGGGGAGGAACGGGGGGGT